ACAGAATAAATTCAACGTGTTTTCAACGTAAATTGCGTCTTGTAGGACGCGAGATATGTAAAACCGCGTTTCCCCATGTACGAGAAGACCTATAAATATGACCCTCCATTCATAATCACCATCACATCCATCGGTTTCTTATCATCTAAATTGGCATCTAAATTGTCATATTATGGTGACTGGTTTATTAAGACATGATAGAAGTCACATATTCGATTATTGGAGGCGAAATGATGAGGTAAATTAATTAATATTATTTTGTATTTTTAGTATTTATTTATTTGTTTAGTTTAGTTTTTTTGTATTTAAATAATTTTTTAATATTTATTTTGTAGGGATATGAGCGTGTATTAGAGTGTCATATAAATCATATGACAATGCCCAATGCATATATTATTGACTATTTACATTTAGCGGGTTTCAGATATATCAGAAGTATAACTGGTGACGGTGTGAAGTTTCATCCTCCACTTATAAATGCATTGGTGGAAAGATGGAGACTGGAGACACATACGTTTCATTTACCGATTGGGGAGGCAACTATTACCATACAAGATGTTGCATTTCATCTGGGACTGCCTATTGATGTCATGTTTTAGTCTGCTCATACTATGGCAATAATGCTACCAAGGAAGTTAACGTATAACAAATTGATGAAGGAAGTGAATAAAAATGTCTCACATGCTTGCGATACAAAATTATTACCCTTCAAGTATCGACTACTGACGTCGTTAGAACCATTAACTACATGATATACACCGTTGAGGACAATAATGATGTGCAGTTGATCGTCGACGCTCACTTGCAATATTCATTTGGAGGGCTGATGGAGTTGTATGCATTATTTTCTGATGCTGATGATGGTACCAATGTGCCAAGTTAGAGACGAGCGGAGTTCGACTTTGATCCAACTGTTCACAGTCCGACGAAAAATTTGGGAAACAACTTCAATTTATTAAGCACACACAATACACATACCAATTTAGGTGCATCATCGTCTTCGATGCCAAGGCAACGTTGCTAGATTCGAGTTTGACTTGAACATGGCACCAATGCCTATTTCCACGTATAATCCATACAATATGCATGAGCCCACGCCATCTTCTCAATACTCCAATCGATGGTCGGACCATGAAACGTTTAACCCATTCGATGTTTAACCTATTCGATAATTTCTCATATGGATGATATTCAATGTATATCTCTTCTGCGGATAACATCTCAACACATATGGGGAGACATTCTTTTACTAGTGTGCGTGACTTTGATCTTGGGAAACCGGTTCGTAAGCGGTCTCGTGATCTATAAACACCTACAACAGTGGCTAACTTTGATTTAAACGAGGCTAAATTATTCCGCTTTGAGGGGGATCATTTTGACGAAGAATTGATAAGAGAGCCCGACCCCGATGGTGATGAGTTAGGCCCTTTCTATGAAAAACCAGAAGACCTTGACATGCCACTAGAAGCAGAAGACAATGAAGAATACGGCGCGACTACAACGGTTCCACATGCTGCCATGCCTATTTCTTATTACCAGCCACCATCGTACTTTACAACAATTGATATTGAAGCATTCAACGCTCTAAAAGTTTTCCAATTCCCACACATTGAGCAATACAAGTTGTGGTTGCAATCAAGAACTACAACATACGTCACTCTGTCACGTCAATTGTGAAAAAAATTGATGCGGATAAGTACATCGCTGAATGTATCCACAAGAAGAAGGGATGTAATTGGATGGTTCGTGTATCACGGTTGAAGACGATGAACAACCTTTGGAAACTCATAAAATATGTCCAACCACATACATGCACCGCCAATATCCTGAATCAAGATCATCGTAACTTGGATATGCATGTGCTTTATAAAGCCTTCATTTCGCTGCTCAAAGCAAATCCACGTGTTACGATTGCAACCTGTATTGCTTTAGTTACATGCTATACGGGTACACAGTTGACTACCACAAAGCATGATATGCAATATCGACCCCAAAAAAATTATTCGGCTAATGGGAGGAATCATACAATGAATTGCGGCCATGGCTTAAATTGATGCAGAAACACATTCCAGGAATAGTTGTGAAATTGGAAACAGTCTCGGCGTATGAAAATGATCGTGTCATACAAGGTGTCTACCAATTCTATCGACTCTTTTGGACTTTTCTGCAATGCATTAATGCATTCCGACACTGCAAGACGATGGTTCAAATCGATGATACTTGGTTATATGGTTGATACGGACAAATAATTTTATTGGTGGTTGCACAAGACGACAACAGAAAAATTATTCCCATCGCCTTCACAATTGTCGAAAAGGAAGATATCGACTCTTAAGAATTATTCCTTATGAACTTACAAACATATGCTCTATCATATGTGATGCAAGATAGAGATTATAAGATTTGTCTTATTTCTTACAAAGGTGCTAGTATCAAATATGCACTCCAGCATATAGGCCCGTCTTGCTAACCCCCTAATATTTATCATCTATACTGTTTATGACATATTGCCGCAAACTATTTGAAAAAGTTCAAGAGTGAAGATGAGCGAAATGTTGCTTCAAATGGGTATATCTTTCACCATTTTCGGTTTACCATATATTTACAAAAATATTATTTCAAATTAATTGTTCCATTTTTTATTGATAGGTCACATACAATCCGTACGTGAGTTTGAGGACCTGCTGTAGGAACTGAGACACATGAATTATGATGGCTACAAATACCTTGCTAGAATCCTAAAGGATTAATGGATTCAATAATTTGATGGGGGTAGACGTTATGGTAACATGACAACGAACTTGGCTGAGGCAATAAATTCATCACTAAAGAGAATGCGTCATTTGCCTATCACGTCTGTTGTCAAAGCCACATATTATCGACTGACAACCCTTTTCGCAACCTTGGGAAGGAAAATAGTTGAATGGATGACAGGTGGCCACCAAATCCACCTAGACCTCATCAAAAAATTACAAACATTCCAACAACATTTCAATGCGATGAGTGTCATATGCTTCTCTCGCGAAATGTCATTATTTTGTTTATCAGAATTTGCGAGGTCATTGGAAGACATACAACACAACACATACGTGGTTAATTTATGAGAAAAAAATATGCGAGTGTGGATTCTTCCAAACTTTCAAATACTTGTGTGTGCACACCATTGATGCTACTTCTTTTGTTCGGATACCCTACATGAGATTCGTTGATCGAGTTTATTTACTTGAAATTATGTTCAAGGTTTATGAATACGAGTTCCCTCCAATTGAAAATGAATGGGATCCGGATGAAAGTGATGATGAACCCACAATACGTCCAGATTATGCACTACGACGAAAAAATTCGGTCTTCCATGGTTAACCTAGATTTTTTGTGACGAGGATATGATCGAACATCAAGAAAGAACCGGATAATCAAAATTATTCTTTATATGTAGGAATCTCGGACACACGAATAACAAATGTCCCAATTGTTCATGCCCATGTATCAATTAAATGGGCTTTTTGTATTATTTCTTTTTTAATCAACAACAAATATTACTTAGTTTTCAATTTCTTTTGATTTCTTCATGCACCAAATCATGCATTCTAACCTTTTCCAACATGATTTTTACCCTCATTAAAATATCTCGTATGTGGCCAAATTAGCCTCAACATAAATATAAGTTGCAATACTATATCTCTAAGCATATAAATTCTAAAATCACTCCTACTTACAAGCCAAAAATAACACTCCAACATGTCTATCAAACAATTTTTTTTTTGCTCTTTCTTCACAAAACCATGATTTGTAACCATTTCCAACGTCAGTTTTACCCCGCTTAAAATGTCTCATATATGATGATATTATACTCACCTTAAAGTTAAATTGCAACACTACACGTTTATAATTAAAAAAATTCAAAATAGAATTTTTCCCGTTAGTACCTCGCGGTTTGTAAGGCGCGAGATTGTTGTTTTAAAATTTAATACCAAATTTTATCTTATAAATTTCAAAATATTATAATTATAATATTATTAATTATTTATTATATTTAATATTATACATATAATTTTTCATTATTTCAAAATTTACAAAATATATTATAATCATTATTTATAAAATATTTATTTTAATTACTATATTTATTTATTATTATATATTATTAGTTATTATTATTATATTTCTTTGTTATTAATTTCAATTTAAAAGATTCTCGTGTGTTGCATGTCGCGAGGTCTCTCATAAATCTCGTAATATTTTGGTTCTCATGCTAACTTGCACTTCACAATGCGTGAGATCATTTTATCAAGTTCTTTTATTAGCTTACCTGGAAAGTCCACCCACATAGAACGTATCCCGCTTATTGGAAGGTGCAATGATTTAACACGCTGTTTGCAGGCCGTGATGTCTTATATGGACGATTTAGGGTTATTCTTCAAAATAATTTATGAAAGACTATTTTCTTTAAATAATTATTTATTTGAAGTTTTTAATATAAAATTGCCCCGACGGGATCTATTACGTAAACACAGGGCCTAAATATGAACCTAGAAGGACGTCGGTCCACAAACAAAGTATTTCAGTCATCAGCAATAACTAATTTTTATACCACAAGCAAATTCAATCATGTAATGAACCACACCATCAAACGCAGAGTTTTATACCAAGTTATCTTTACAGTATCAGTTTAATATGCATAATTTTTTTAAAAAGCCTTTTGATGTTAATTATTAGGTTAATGCAAAATAAGTATTTAAACTAAACTATAAGTTAATTTTAGGTGTCTAATTTTTTTCACTCAAAATAAATAGCTAACATTTTTAATATTACACTTTGAAGTACCTACACTGTAACGTTGGTTAAAAAAGATAGTTAAATGATTTGTGTCACATTTATATTTATATTTTTTATTTTTATTTTTAAAAACTTAAAAATTGTATTTTTAAGAAACTCAATATTTTTCTAAAATCTCAAAAGAACAAAAAAATCAAATCCCAAAAGTTTTAATATCAAACCCCTCATTGTCTCCATCGGTCATTTTCAACGACAACTTCCGGTACCAAATGATCGTCCATCCATCGTTGGTCATCCATTAACCCGTCATCGTCATCGCTCTTACCAATACCCCAATTCTCTGAATCTCCCGGTTTAGGTAGGTGAATCTCCCAGCAGAGATTTTTTTCATACACAAAAACTCGAACTCGAGACTTTACTTAAAGGATATCAAGTTGTTTACCACTTGATCAACCCATATTAGTTAGGCTGTGCTTTATTTATCAAGTTGAAATTAAATAATAAATTTATTTAAATTCAGTTATAAAATATATAAATATCGGTATATATTTTTAATATTTGACCACATATGAGTAGTAAAAACGGATTGCTTGAGCGGAAAAGATGGAATTTAGACTGAAGATGAAAATACCCCATCATTTAAAAAAAAACCTCCTTTCAGAGGCGGACCTAGGACAAAAGTTCATGGGTTGCACAAAAACTCTTATAATTTTTTTTAGAAACTACGATATCTATTAATATAATAAAATGTCCATAAATTACATTCTAAAGTTGACCTTTTCTTGTTTTCATTTTTTTAAAGCGATTGATTACACTTTCAATCTTAACATCTAAAAGTGCTTCTTTTTCTATTGCGCAAATCAAGGCATGATTCATAAAATCGTCACTCATTTTGTTGCGCAAGTCTGTCTTTAAAAGCTTCATTGCAGAAAAACATCTTTCAACCGTTGCAGTTGCAACCGGCAGAACCAAAACTAACTTTAATAACCTATAGATCAAAAGAAAAGAACGATGTTTCCCTGTTTCCACCATCAAGCGAGAAAGGTCGGCAATTCCATTCAAGTTAGCAAATTTGTCATCATGTAGCAAAGAGTGATAGTAGATATCAAGTTGACCAAGAAGATATGTCCTTTCTGAATCACTAAAATCATCTGGGTACATCTCACTTAACTTCAACAACTTTGATTTATCAAACTTAGAAAATGAATCAGAAGGACTTAAAGCCGCCATGTTTTCTAGCAATTCGGTGCTTACCTCACTAAATCGATCCCCAAATTCTAAAATTTGCATATCCAAAACCGTGTTAAAAATCTCAACCTCAAAATGATGCTGATTAGTAATCTTGGTCCTACGGTTTCTTGGAGTAACATAATATTCTGACATATCCAAAGTTTCAATGCTATGTTTTTGATAAAAAAATATACTTTCTTTAAAATTGAACCAAACCTGTCATTTCTTAAAGTTTGCAATGATTTCTTTGTTGCTCTTACCAATGAAGCCGCTTCCAAAATATCTTGATCTTTTCTTTGAAGATGTCTTGACAAGGTATCCGTGAGACCTAAAATCTCCAACATCAAGTGTAAATAAAACAAAAAATAAAGTGTTTTAAAATATGATAAAATACCGTACACTTGATTTCGGTTAGATAAAGTTGAGCCGTCCTCTTCAACATATTTAAGCACCTCAATAACTTCAGGAAACAAATTCATCAAACTTATGATTGTTTTATAATGGGAACCCCATCTTGTATCTCCTGCTCGAATTAGATAAAGCTCTTGATTCAACCCTCTTCCGGTTTCAGTTTCACCAATACCAATTTCCGTTTTCAATCTCTTTTTGTAGCTCTCTCGTATGATATCCTTTCTTTTGCAGGAAGCACAAACCACATTAACCACCAAAGCTAGTTGCTCAAAGAATTCATGAGCACCATCATGACTCTTTGCAACCGCCACGATCACTAATTGAAGTTGGTGAGCAAAACAATGTACATAATATGTTGACTTATTATCTCTTAAGATCAACGCTTTCAAACCGTTAAACTCACTACACATATTACTTGCTCCATCATAACCTTGCCCTCTTACCTATTTCAAATAATAGATAAAAGATTTAATATATAAAAATAAAGATTCAATTAAATAATTAAAATATAAATCAAATAAATATGACATATTACCTGAGCCATGCTTAATTTATTGTCAGTAAATACGGAATCAATGGCAGCTTTAAGAGTCAAAGAAGATGTATCCGTCACGTGAACAACTCCAATAAATATCTCCTTAACAACTCCAAGTCTATCAACATATCTCAAAACCATAGCCATTTGCTCCTTTTTAGATACATCACTAGACTCGTCAACTAATATGGCAAACACATCCTTACCAATTTCATCACAAATGGACTTTATTATTTCTTTTGAAAAACATTCAACAATATCTTTTTGAATCTTTGGAGATGTCAATTTATCGTTCTTCGGAGCCTTTTCTAAGGTAACATTATAAATACTCTCATTGTGTTCTCTAATCAAAGATAATGTTTCAATGAAAAGCCCTTTGGAAATGGAGTCATCCGACTCATCATGGCCATGAAACGGTAACTTATTTTCCAACAAAAATCTACAAGTGACAATTGTAGCACGTAATCGAATTTCATAGTTACTCTTCTCATGTTCAGTTTGCTTATTAAGAGCATCACTAATAGATTGATTTTTTTTCACTAGATTTTCACGCTTTTGTCGTGCTTTGTTGTGTAAACTGTAACACCCCAACCCGTATCCGACCTGGATACGAGTCCGAGATATCACATTGACATTTTAAAACCTTTATTCTTGTAAAATATCATAACATTTGAACTTATATTAAGAAAATACGATCATATACGTTTGAATTGTGTTTGTTATAAAATTTTGAAGTAAAAACGTATTTATGAATAGTAAAATACGGTATGAACAGTACCTGAACAGAAATGAACAGTGCTATAGTGCATCGATGCATGAAAACATCGAAGCAAATTTGTGCATCGATGCACTGCTATAGTACTGCTATAGTGATTTCGTAAAAATACATATAAACTCGTAAAAATTTCACCGTTCATTACTATATATTATATTTACATAAATATGTTTAAAACATTACAAAACTCGATCCGAGTGTATCCAATACAAATATTTTATTATTACATGCCAACTAAATTCTTTCTAACAAAATACATGTAATTCAATTTACATTTTTGATCTGATTTTTCGGTAAGGAGAACTGACCTGTCTTGTTTCTCTTTACTTCTCTTTTCGCTTTCCAAACCTACGTGTGAAACAATCACACACTAAGTCGATGACTTAGTGAGGCATATAAAACATATAATATAACCATATACCATTTCATATAAACAAAATACATACATCTGCAATTACTATCATATCATATAAAAACATATCTCATCATTTACCTTCTTAGCATTATCCTTAATCCCTTAGTCATATGCTCTTGTATCTAACATTCTTAACCAAACAATATACACATCATCATATAATTCTTGTGACATTTCATATTATCAAAAGCATATAAATCACATATAATATATTTGTGTTATCTCTTTAATTAGCCCATGGTACACTTGTGAGAACTAAAGATATGTGAGTACACTGAGGTTGTGCACATATGCTGTCACCACAGCTCGTATAAATTTGCACCGTAGTGCCACGTAGAATTTGTCCCGAAGGACCGCGTAGAATTGTACCGTAGTGCCATATAAGATTTGTCCATAAGGACCACATAGAAATTCCTTAAGAATCATATACATATACAAAGGATCAAGTGTCTCAAAAGACCTCATACATGTTCCAAGGAATACATATATGTCCCGAAGGACCACGTAGAATTTGTCCCGAAGGACTGCGTAGACCCTCGACTCTTGGCATGCCAACTATACCTCTAGATCTCATGACACATAACATGGGCATTATCTTTCATATTTATTACATATCATATCATCATATAGTTCACTTACACGTAGAACGTTTTCATATGATTCATATTCATATGTTACATAGCTTATACTTTGTTCTTATGCCTTCTCATAGACATATATTCTTTATCACGTAGTCACATAGTTCCATATCATATAACATATATCATTTCTCATTTGTCCATGTGTGTATGTCATATCTTGTTCACATATATTCGTATATACATCACATAGCTCATCACATAGGCATATATTCTCATATATTCTCATAAATCATATCGTATAACATGTATCACCTATATCTTGTCACTTATAATCATATAACTTATCATCACATATACATGCATTAACATAGATCACATATACCTAGCTTTTATCCTATTTTCATGTATTCATGCACACATAAGAATCACATAATATTTTAGAAGTTACTTCTTACCATAGTAACTCCATCATTGGCTCATCGCAAGCCAATGTTCGTTCAATATCATAGGTACAAATTAATTTGCACTCACCTTAGCCTTGCTTTGATTCAATCCTAATCCTTTGATTGTTCCATAACTTGATTAGACTCAATAACTACATAAACATAATTTCCGAAATAATTATCAGAAGCCTAACCCTTATAACTTGATGTTAATAACTCAGGCTAATTTAATAAACCAAATTTCAGCTTTTCCTTTAAGAGTGCATCGATGCACTATGGGTGCATCGGTGCACAAAATAGCTTCGAAATATCCATGCATCGATGCACCCTTAATGCATCGATGCACCTACCCATAAATCACTGTTCATTACACGAAAATTCACTCTTTCAATTTCAATTCTTCAAGTTTCATTCTCTTTCATATTCTTATTTCAAATATACATGCTTAAACTCATTTATATCTATTTATTTCATCTTAAACCTCAAAATTCTATTCTCCATATAGAAATCAATAATCATACCAAATTTTCCATGTTATCAAAACTTCATTCTAACACTTCTAACTTCTTATTCTCATGGATGACAAGTCAAATTCATCATCCAAATTCATTTAAACATTCTTACTCAAAATTTCACCTAAAAACCCATTTTCTTTAATCTTTCATAACTCTTTTATCTTTTGATTTTAAGATAACTTAAGCTTTCCATAAGCTTAGTTATCATCTAATGATCAAAACCCAACTATAAAATCAACAAAACAAACAAGAAACTCTTACCTTTGCTTGAGTTTTCACGTGGAGAAGAGAAGAAGATGAAGAATAGAATGGCCTAGAAGCTTATCTCTTCAATCATGCTCCACATGGGTATTATAATACCCATTAATCATTATTTAATTATTTTCCTTGTTTAATTACTCATTTGCCCTTTGACTCCTTTAATATTTACTAAAAACTTTCATGAAATATCTCCATATAAATCATTGAACTTTTCAACTTTTCAACTTTTCCACTTTAATCACCAAATTCTAAAATTTTACAATTTAGTCACTAACCTATAGTTTGGGATGTTACATAAACTATCAACATTACCTACATGAGCATATAACGATTTCTTTTTACTCCAAGTGCTAAATCCTTCCGTCACAAATGCATCTCTCCCACCTTGTTGTCCTACAATATCTCCAAATAAGTAGCAACATAAACAATAAGCTTTGTCCTCCTTTATGCTATACTCTAACCAATCAAATTCATCAAACCATTCAACGATAAAGCGTCTTAGCTTAGGACCTATCTTTTTTGATGGAAAAGTATGACCCCTTGGTTGACATGGTCCTTTAATACAATATGCCCTTCTTATTTCATCTTTTTGATTTGGATGATAAGATGTAATTTTTGGTCTATCCGTCAGATCCGAAGGAAGATCATTCATATTAATAGTTGTTGGAATGGAAGCCATGGGAGTAGGTGACACAGTGGTAGGTTGTGGTCTTTGTGGAACTTCATTTGAGCTATTTCTTTTAGAAGATCCTTCACTACTTCCATCAGTACCAACATCTAATTTCCTTTTAAAATAGTTACCAATAGAACCCTACAATTAAATATTTCAATAAATAAAATGATTAATATATTAAAAACTCAACATATAATAATTATATACTATGAATTACTACTTTACTTTAATATCCTAATTTTAATACATCAAACTAAACAAAACCTAATTTTAATGAATTAATCAATTTCAAATAACAAAGCAATATTATATACAGTTTACTACCTTTATTGTTAAACATGAAAAGTTAAATATGAATGAAAGAAAACAAAGTGAGAAAGATAATAAAATCATTAATGTAAAGAATAAATTAAGATAAAAGAAAGTACACATACTTGTCTCATTTGTATATTTGGAGAAAAAGGTAGAAAGTTCAAAGTTCAACTTGCTGTCTTCGAGGTTTCCACTACTGCATCTTCCCTTCAAAAGTTCAAAGTTCAATCGACTACTGTCGTCTTCCCCTTCAAAGTTCAATCGCACCAAGAAGGCAGTGAGAAAGCCCTTGCGGCCTTGCCTTTCCAAGATGGGTTGAGTTTCCACAAGACCACAACCCTCAACCCTTGTCGGCGGTTTGACCTTCTAATCTTCAATCGAGGTTTTCAGTTTTCATAGCCTTTCTAATATGTTGCCAATTGTCGTATCCCAAATCCCAATTCCGGCTTGATCTCTTTTTTTTTAATTTTAAATAGAATATTAATTTTTCCTATAATAAAGAGTAACAATTACACACAATATTAAGGGTAGTAATTGTATTAATTAAAAAAATAGAAAAAATTAACACTAAGTTACAATTTTGAGGGGTTGCATGGTGTAATATAGGGGTAGCAATTGTATTAATTAAAAAAAATTAACACTAAATTACAATTTTGAGGGGTTGCCTGGGGTATAAGGTCCGCCCGTGCCTCCTTTTAAAAATGTTGGCAACATGATGAGTTGAATATATATGAACATGAGTTGCAACCTGTGATAGTGGGGGAGTTCCTATCTGGTCTGAGGTGATGCATATGCAACCTTTTCAAAGGTTCATGGAATGGTGGCCAAGCACGCAGCCAGAGGCGGAACGCAACGGGGTATGTGAGGGCCAGGGTCCCCCAAAATTTGAAAATTTATAATCTTTCTTTAAAATATTTAATTTGGTCCCGTAAATTTAGATTAAACTTTTATTTTTTAAATGTTTTAATTAAATTTCTCTCAGATTTTTAAAAATTATCATTAAGTCTCTCAGATTTTCAAAAAATGAGGGCCAGGGTCCCCCAAAATTTGAAAATTTATAATCTTTCTTTAAAATATTTAATTTGGTCCCGTAAATTTTTAGATTAAACTTTTATTTTTTAAATGTTTAATTAAATTTCTCTCAGAATTTTAAAATTATCATTAAGTCTCTCAGATTTTCAAAAAATTTAGATATACCTCAATTTTATGGAAAAAAATAGAAACTAAACCCTTCAAATTTTTTAAAACTTTTAATTTAAATCTCTAGATTTATAAAATTTGATGCTCAAAATTTATCCAATGCAGGCAGCCCTATTGACTCTGACCCTTGCCCTAGTTTTTGCTCTCTCGGTAAATTGCCGAACTTGTTTGCTCTCTGCTTGACAACAATTGGTGGGGTTTTATTATCAATTTGAGCCTATATTCTTCAAATTCATCTTGTTTGGTTCAGCTTTTGGACCTGAAGTTTTTTATCCACAAATCATGAGAGATTCTCTCATAAGATTTTTTTCCTCCTTTTTAATTATTAGAGATCAAATTAGCTCCAAATTATTTGGCTTTGATTTTAAATTAATTTAATTATCAAATTAAATTTGAGCTTGAACAGTTTGAGTTATCAGTTAACTCGAATAGTATATAAAAGAGTTAGTTTTTGGTGAGCATGGATTGCTGAACTTGGAAGAGAGAAATTAGGTAAGGATTTAAATTTAGGGTTGATTGAGTATTTGGTGAGTAGCATTAATCTAACAAGTTTACAACCTACCATTCAACTTTACGTGAGCATTTTCCATTCCGGGAAGTTCTACAGCGCGACACCTTAATATAAGGCTAAAATAAGGCGATATCGATTTTGTTATTGTTTAAATAATAAAACCGGTAAAAAATTACCTAAAATATCATTATTTTTACCTAAATCACCAATTTTTTTAACATTTCCGGTAAAAATACCAAACAATAACAAAAACGGTAGCGCCTAATAATATTTCCGATCATTTTTTCCAATTTCGGTAAAATGTACCGGTTTTGTTATTGTTTCTAATAATGTTTCCAATCATTTTTTATCGGTTTTTTTATTTAAACAATAACAAAATCAGTAACGTCTTATTTTAGCCTTATATTAAGGTCGTCACACGTGAGCATTTCCCTCTTATTCCTCTCTTTGTCAAACCTTCTGTTGTAGGATCTTCCAAATCCCAACGTTTTTTTCATCCAAACTGTTATTTTACCTCAGCAATTACATGTACAAAAAATCATAAAGAATACCAAATTAGTTGCAATTTGTTAGGTAGAATTACCGATCCGCCCACCTGCGTTGCCCTTCCCATTCAATTGAAAGACTTGTTTAGTTGGATGATCTAACTGTCAAAACAAGAAGAAATACAATTCAGGGCATGACTGTTGATTGAAATAAATCCCATCAAGACTACTTTTGAGTCCCTCTTGACTGATTGATGAACAATGAAGTTGTAACATTAAATCGTCAAATTTCAAGATCACTCCAATCATTTTCATATAAAAAAGGGGAAAATCAATCTTTGATTTAGAATTGAATCTGATTGATTGAATTTTGGAAAACACAGCTTGATACTGCTGAGCAGATCTAGTTTGATATGACATTCACTTAAGAAATGAGATTTCTTGGTATCTTCGAAGGATTGAGAAATTAGTGCAAGTTGAAGGGGTTTTGAGTCTGGATGAGGGTACATGGTCCTACTGCTGGGATTGCATTGAACCATATTCCTCTCATTGCTGCATGAATTTCGCCGCTGTTTCAGGTACGAGTATCGAATGACTATGATGATGTGTCGACAATACGCGGAATCAAGGCCTGCTAATTGCGTGCTTTTCAGCTCAAACTGAAAGCATCAGTACGCTACAACCGCCTTTATGAACGCGTTAATGGGCCTTGGTTATCAAATTGCCCCTCAGATGTGGGTTTCTCCATAAATCAACGCGTCTCCTGAGGCAAGGTTGCCTATGCCTCTCACCACCCAACCACTAACTCAACATGTATATATACTACTGTTCAGTTATGCAAAAATAGTTGGCTTAAACCCAACAAAGATTCCCATTTTGATCCGATCTCAATTGATCTGGCACTTTAACAGTGTGTGGAAAGGACCCCCTATATTATGAATGGACGACCTGCTCCATCAACCAACTTCAATTCTAGCATCAAAGTAGACCACCTTATTTTCAGTATCAGTCTCAAAGTTCAAACTTGTCTTTATGTCGCCTTTGTTTCCATTAAAACATAAAGGGTTCTCAATTTTCCCCAGTGCTAATGATACATTGAATCATCAAAGCTTGACAATACGGAAGAGGTGAAGTTCCATCGCAGCATTTGAGAAACCTGTACAAGAGAAAAGAGATCATCTTTGCCGATGATAGAATAATATCAAGGACCACTTTCTGGGCATTGTAATTATTTGCTCTGTTAGTTTTCTTCAGTAGGAAGATACAATCAAAGTAATGTTTTATACAACAGTACCATTTCTACGAGTGCTTTTTTTTTTTTTTTTCTGGTTTCTTATTTCACTGTAATTTTGGAACCCTGGGTGGCCTCGGGAGCAGGATAGAGGGGAGGTTATCTGATGCAGATGATTTAAATATTGTTTTCGAGTTACTGGAAATGCCTGAATCTCAAACCCCCATGTGCATTTCAAATGTACTAGTCATGGTCTTTCATAATTTAGATATGGTACGTGTACTATTTCGAATATATTTAATTTGCTGAATACCTGTATTTAAAAACCCAAATAGATGAATGACAGTAAAAATCTCAGATCCTTTTCAATTCAAAGAATTGTCTATATACACACATTGGTGAAGAGTGAAACAACAGAGCTGCTCACGAATGGAAGGTGTGAGTTGAGCAACAAAAGGAAAATTGCAGCACCCGAAGCCATTTGCATAGTTGCAGTTGCACTGGAGGGGGTCTCTGGCTCTCTGCAACACCGTCACCCTTCCAACCACCTTGGAAAGCGTGTCAAAGGCAATGATGAGAGAGACCAAAACTGCGCCCACTGATGTCTACTTTTAAATCCCACTTCTGTGATCGATCTTCCCAAAGTTACCGGAATCTTTATAATCACGGGAGACCACTAAAGGATTGATTTTCCTGACAAAAGTCATGGACAGTGGAGTGTGTGGGTTTCATGGTAAATGGAAGAATATATTTTTTAAGGCAAAGCAAACTCTTAGAGTGTACTTAATGGCAGACTATAAAAAACAAAGTGGTTCATGCACCTTCTTTGAGCAATATCCTTAAATCCAAGCCATCTAATTTGTGGGCCTAAGGGTATGACGAATTTACTAGATCGGAGGGCTGAATTTAGAGTTAGCCCCACATGATGGGCGGTAACTATCAGAGTCCAGAGACCACACATATACAATCCTAAATGCGTTTTTGGGACAGGAACTTTCCTACAACCTTTGCATAAAATTATTTATATATGTAGATTGGTCACAAGTTGCTATATAAAGGCCTTTCCACATCTTTGCTAGATATTAGTTGTACTTCGAAATACACCTTTTCATCTCTCCTTTTATCTTCAGCTCTGCGCATCTTTGATTAAAAAAACAAAAACCCTAATTCTATCAAATCTATATCTTCTGTCAGCTCAGCTCCTTCTCATCTCTCTGCCATTTTAGTCTTTCAGTTTGTTTCTCTCAAATAGTGCTTTTCTAAAAGACCAAAGAGTAGCAGATAGCTAGTTTGCGTCAAAGTTCAATGGATGTTAACATGACCAAATCCTCAGTAGCAGAAGACCACATGGATATGATGACAATGATGATGCAAATGGAAAGCTTCCTGAATTCTGTGAGTCGCCTACTTTCAAGACCTATGAACTAAACTTCTCCAATGGGACTTCAAGCTCCACGGCTTACCCCACCCATTTACCCTAACCCCATTAATGATCCTCTTCACTCAACACATTCATGGCCTTGCCACCTTCCACTTATCATTCATCGGCAATGTCCAAGCTCAAGAATCCATGGCTCCACCTCTTCAATCCAAAACAAGTTGAAGTATCCATCTCTTTTCAATAACTCGAACTCGTATCCTCCTTCGGTAGATAAGAAGAACTCGATGGCAGCAGTGAGGGAGATGATCTTCCGTATAGTGGCAATGCAGCCGATTCATATCGACCCGGAATCCATTAAGGCTCCGAAGAGAAGAAACGTGAAGATCCCAAAGGATCCACAGAGTGGGCCGCCAGGCACAGAAGAGAATGGATAAGTGAGCGGATAAGGATCCTGCAAGATCGTTCCGGGAGGCACTAAGATGGACACTGCTTCGATGTTGGACGAAGCTATTCGTCATGTCAAGTTCTTGAAGAAACAGGTTCAATCCCTGGAACAAGCTGCTGTGAATAGGCCGATGGGCATAGGGTTTCCCCGGTACAGCAATGGCTAATGTGGGTTACTCCTCTTTGGCGAAAGCTTGCCAGGCATCTCATAATTATCAAGTTGTAAGCAATATGCAGATGCTTAGATAATTCAGAATTTAGTATAGAAACGTAAGAGTGAATCTCTATTATTTAGTTCTTTGATTTGTGCAATGGGCAATATCTTTGTAATGTGTTCGGATTTACTTGTAAAGTGTGGACTTCACTTGTTCTTGGTGCCACAAAGGATTCCATCATATGCTTTCATTATCTATGATTAAACTTCTTAGTATTATTTTCTACATATATCTCTAATATTGTTACACCCATCCAACGATCAAAGGTTTTATCAGCAGAACATGACAGTAACTTCAAGAATTTCCCATGCATAATGCATTCGAGTTAACTGATTATATATTATTAGATTTTGCACTCGAATTTTGTTTGATTCGATAAAAAAATTTATGATGCAACTCACTGTAGTATAAACCTTGTTACACATTAATTTCGTACATGAGTATATTCTACTCTATAATTTAATTAAAACTATGAAAACCAATTTGAGTAGTTTTTTGTTTTGCAAGTTTTTTATAATTAAATATTATTCTTATGACATATATATACTATTAGTGATTAAGATCAGAAGTGAATTTGTTTAAGTCGATTAAGTCACAAAGTCACAAATCTTCTATATTTTTATTTTCTAACAGTAACAGATATTTTATTGTTATATTTTTATTTTCAAATATTAATAAATTTTTTTCATTCTCTCTCTCTTCTTTTTTTGATGTTTTTAGTTTAAGCTTTTCACCTAAAATATAAATATTTCTTTGTTATCATGTAAAGAGGTATTATTTCTAAAATAAATGTCAGAATTTAAATCCACACAAAATGTGAATATTATTGACCAATTAATCAATTAAACAATCTAAAATTTTCTTTTATTTTGTGATATTTGTTATATTGTAATATTTAGTAACTAATGTTTTGGTGCTTTGGGGAAGAATTAATTTGAAATATTTCCTCTTCCATGCATGAAAATTCATTCACATTTGAGGGTTACCATACATAGCTTAAGATTGTATTATGCAATCATATTCTTAATAGTCGGCAAGGTCTATGTCACTTTTCATTTAAGTTAAATTTGTTTCACTATAAGAATATTGACAGATAGCAACATCTGGTTTTTCACAGTTTGCAGTTTTTTTCGTTGTAAACCTTTCAAAAAAAAAAAAAAAAAACCCAGAAATCTAAGAACATCCTCCGACAAAATTTTACTTTGCTTGCTCCCTTTAAAGTTATTTGAATTCTCCATGAAGTTAGATAAATAATCCTAAAAAATATATAAAATAAAGAAAATAAGTATATAAATTTATATAAAAAGTTTGAAAAGAGAAAAATTACATATAATATATATTTATATATATATATATATATTTGTACAAACATAAAACTCTTAGCTCGTGAGTCCTTATATTCACCATAATTCTTATTTTTATCTTTAAATTCTTAATAAGTCACCTTTTAATTTTTTAAATCATATCACATAAAATTCGAATCAGTAACAAATTACAAACAATGTGTTTGTCTTGAAACCAAATTTTGTAGCAAACTATGAGTATATAAGATGTATTTATATTGTATCTACGTGTTGTTTATATACATGATTATAATTATATTTTACCAACAATAGTAAGAAGGCAGTCTCATGTTAAGTTTGAATCTTAAATTATTATTATTAAAGAAATATTTATATTATCTTGATTTAAATAAATTATCGTAGGACTGATGTTATGATGTGCAGAAAAAAATGTTTCAGCAATAGTATTTAAATATAAGTAGTAGTTAATTTGTTTGGTGATAATATTAAATGACGCGAACGTAGGTGGTAGGTTATCTCCCAAGGTGGAAATGAAGAAGGGTTGCCAATGAATGTGGTAATAGTTCTGCTGGTACTCAAAGGAGTATGGGTACATATGAGAATGAGGTTGTGGACTCTAGTAGCAATCATGTAGCTGATCAGGGGTGTTACAAGTACCAGCTCATCAACATGTAGAGGTGAGGTGTTACATCAACATGTAGAGGAGGTGTTACATCAACATGTAGAGGATGGGTGCTGCATATTGAATCGAAATAGAGTAAAAACTCTAATTGATTGATAAGAAGAAAAACTCTCTTTAGAATAATCTCACAAAATTGCAAAAGAGAAGGAACTCTTAAGAAAGCTTTTCAAATGCTTATAACTAAGCTTTTATTTTGAATGATAAAACTCAAATACAATAGGGTATTTATAGGTTACAAGAAACAACTAAACCACTCATTAAATATCACAAAATAATTTTAACCATTGAAATTAAAATGAGAAATACCTAATTTTTCACATAATAAATTGATGTAAGCAATGACATCAAAACTAAATTGATGTAAGCAATGACATCAAATTAATTTAGGTGGGCTTATTTAGGCTATATTGACTTCTCAACACTCCCCCTCAATGTTAGCCCCCATTCTTTGAATCACGCCAAGCTGACGACGGAAATGTTCAACTTCCAACACTAAGCTTTTTGTAAACAAGTCAACAATTTGCTCATCTGTCTTGACTTGCCTCATCTTAATCTCTTATTGCAAAATTTTTCCCTAACAAAGTGGTAATAAAGTTCCACATGTTTAGTTCTTGCATGAAAAACAGGATTCTCCGCCAGCCGAATTGCCGATTGGTTGTCACAGTACAACATAACTGCATAATCTATTGGTTGATGTAGATCTTTTATTAGTTGTATCAGCCACGCTTTCTTGAGTTGTCATTGCTGCTGCTCGGTACTTTGCTTCCATAATTGACAAGGACACAATCGGTTGTCTCTTGCTACACCAAGAAATTGTTCCGGAGCCAAGCTTAAACACATACCCAATTGTTGATCTTCTGGTGTCATGATCTGCATAATCAACATCACAATAACCAACTAACTTGCAGTCTTCCTTTCTTGTACAAAAGACCATAGTCAATTGTACTCTTCACATATCTTAGTATCGTCGAACTTCTTCCAAATGAGGTTTCTTTAGATTTTGCATATACCGAATCATTACACCAACTGCATAAGAAATGTTAGGTCGGGTCAAGGTTAAGTAGATCAGACTACCTACCAATTGTAGATACATTGTTGCATCTTCCAAATCTTTTCCTTCACGTGCACACATTTTGGTATTTGGTTCCATTGGCGTCGAAGTTGACTTGCATTCGAGCATTCCTCTTCAACAGATCTTTAGCATATTTCTGTTGACACAGAAATATTCCTTCGTGTGTGTGATCAACCTCTAGACCAAGAAAGTGCTTAAGTTGTCCAAGTTACTTCATTTGGAAAAGAACTGATAAATTCTCTTTCGTTTGAAGAATTTCTTCCTCATCATCATTGGTTATGATTAAGTCATACACGTATACTAGCACGATAGCTAGTTTACCTTCATTGACTTTGAAAAATAAGCTAGAATCTGTAGGTGTTATTGAATAGCCACTTTTCGTTAGAAATTCACAATCTTACCATACACGCCCTAGGTGCTTATTCATATGTAGAGTGCTTTTCACAGCTTACACACATATTCAGGATGATCTTGTCTCTGAAAACCCATTGGTTGAGTCATGTAGATCTCTCGATCTAGCTCTCCATGAAGAAAATCATTCTTCACATCCATCTGCCACAAATTCCAGTCTTTGTTGGCTGCAAGTGCAAGTAGGAAACATACGGTTGT